TTGTTAAGTGTCATCGAGTCAGTTCTGCATCATAGTGGCCCTGTATAGTATTTCTGAGGAACAGTTGGTGAGTTTGAACTACTGACCTTGTGATTCAAACCACCTATAGGTTCCAACTCATAGCAACCTTCTATAGGGTTTCCGAGGAGCAACTGGTGAGCTTGAACTATTGACTTTGCCACATCAGGTCTCGTTAGCCCCCATCTTAATCTTTATTCCTTAGCAACTCATTTCAAAATGGGCCCATGATCACAGTCACAGAGGTTGGATTTATAACATATCTCAGAATGGAGACATTTGGCTAGAAGGGCCATAATTAATAATTAGCTGCCCTGCAGTAAGGTTTTATGATAGTGTTGTTGTCACTGGATAATTTCAAAGAAAACATCACCTTTCTTTGGAATAGAGCGTTATTTGAATCTCTTGGCTTAGTTAGATTACTAAATGCCTCCAGAGCTACATCAGTCAATTTCTGGACCTTGTTTTTCACCAATGCCTCAGTGTAGCTTGGCCTTCTTCCTGGTGTACCATCAATTCTTGATCACACACTACCTCCTGAAATAACTGAAGGTCGACTAATTCTTTTTGGTACAGTGACTATGTATTCTTCACATTTTCTTTTGATGGTTTGTTGTTCAATATTTGCCAACAGAATACTTTAATACTGCAGCTTAAAACATGGTGGGGTTTTGTTGTTGTTGTTGTTCAGTTCTTTCAGTTTGAGAAATACTGAGGGTGTTCTTCCCTCTAGGTTTTCTAACTCTTGGTCTTTGCATATTTCATTATATACTTGACTTTGTCTTCTCAAACTGCCCTTTGAAATCTTCTGTTCGGTTCTTTTATTTTAATATGCTGTCTTTCATTTTCCTATTCTTCATTCAATATCAAGTTTCTGAATCAGTACCTACTGGCATCCATTTTGGTCTTTTCTTTCTTTCCTTTCTTTTTAATGACCCTTTGATTTCTTCATGTATGATGTCCTTGATGTCATCCCACAACTCATCTGGTCTTCGGTCATTAGTGTTTAGTGTGTCAAATCTATTCTTGAGATGGTCTCTAAATTCAGGCAGGATACACTCAAGGTCAGGAGTACTGGTGTAGTCCTTTAGGATATGCACTAGACTGCTAACCACAAGGTCAGTGGTTCAAATCCTTGGAACTCCTATACAAGGTGGCTATGAGTCGAATGAACTCAACAGAAAACAAACAACAATACTCAAGGTCATACTTTGGGTCTTGGTGGTGGTTATGTGCCATGGAGACAGTACCAACTCATAGTGACCCTTAGGGACTTTAAAAATGTGTTTTCTTCAGCTTCAAATGAACTTGCATATGCAATTGATGGTCTGTTTCATAGTTGACTCCTGGCCTAGTTCTAACTGATGATACTGAGCATTTCTATTTTCTTTTCCACAGATGTGGTCAATTTGATTCCTTTGTATTCTATATGCCAAGTCTCATGTGTATACCCACTGTTTATGTGGTTGAACAAAGGTATTTACAAGAAATACATCGTTGGACTTGAAAAACTCTTATTATATGATCTCAGCATTGTCTTTATCACCCACAAATGCTATGTCATATTTTCCAACTACTTATCCTTCTTTGTCTCTGATTTTTGCATTCTAATTACCAGTAACTATCAATGCATCTTGATTGCACATTTGATTAATTTTAGACTGCAGAAGTTGGAAGCAATCTCTAATTTCTTCATATTTGGCATTTAGTGGTTGGTTCATGTTGTTAAGTGCCATAGAGTCATTTTTGACTCACAGTAACACCCTATGTACAATAGAATGAAATACAACCTGGTCCTGTCCCATCCTCACAATTGCTACTTCTCTTACATCCATTGATGCTGCCACGGTACCAACCCATCTGGCTGGGGGATCTTCCTCTTTTTCTCTGACCCTCCACTTTACCAAGCATGATATTCTTCTCCAGGGACTGGTGCCTCCTGATAATATGTCCTGGTTTCCAAGGAGCACTCTGGCTGTACTTCTTCAAACACAGATTTGTTTGTTCTTTTGGAAGTCCATGGTACTTTCAATACTCTCCTCCAACACTGTGCTCAAATGCATCAATTATTTTATGGTCTTCCTTATTCACTGCCCAAGTTTCACATGCATATGAGGCTACTGAAAATACCATGTCTTGGATGAGGAGAAATTTAGTCTTCAAACTGATATCTTTGCTCATGAACACTTTAAAGAGGTTGTGTGCAGCAGATTTGCCAAATGCCATACATCCTTTGATAACTTAATTGCTGCTTCTGTGAGTGTTAATGATTGATCCAAGCAAAGTGAAGTGTTGGACAACATCAATCTTTTTTCCACTTATCATGGTATTATTTATTGGTCCAGTTGTGAGGATTTTTTGTTTTCTTTACATTGAGGTGCAACCCATACCAAAGGCTGTGGTCTTTGATCTTCATCAGTATTTTAAGGTACATGTTGTTGTTGTTGTTGTTAAGTGCCATAGAGTCGGTTCCGACCCATAGCGACCCTGTACAGGGTTTCCGAGGGTGTAAATCTTTACGGGAGTAGAAAGCCTCATCTTTCTCCCGCGGAGCGGCTGGTAGTTTCGAACCGCTGACCTTAAGGTTCACAGCCTGAGTCGTAACCACTACGCTATACATTTAAATAATAGTCATATTAACTCGTCTTCCAAGTGGGCATATGGATATTATCCTACCGCTAATGGTGGTGTACTTTAGGATAGATCTTGAAATATTCTTTTTGATGATGAATGCAATGTCATTTTCTTCAGTTTTGCACGCACAGCAGAGTATACAATGTTGTTGTTGATGCTAAGTAACTGTCATTGTGTCAGTTCCAATTCATAGAGACCCTGTATAGGGTTTTCAAAGAGTGGCTAGTGGGTTTGAGCCACTGACCTTGTGGTTAACAGTCCAGTGCTTATCCAACAGCATCACACCAGGACGTCATATGATTGTCTAAACGAAGGAGTACCTGCAAATGCATTTATATGTGATTTATTTTATTACTGCTGGACATTTAAATTGTTTCCAATTATTTGCATTATGTTGTTGTTGTTGTTGTTAAGTGCCATCGAGTCGGTTCCGACCCATAGCAACCCTGAATAGGGTTTCCGAGGCTGTAAATCTTTACGGGAGCAGATCGCCTCATCTTTCTCCCGCGGAGCAGCTGGTAGTTTCGAACTGCTGACCTTCCGGTTCACAGCCCGATTCGTAACCACTACGCTACCAGAGCTAATCCATGAAAAAAAAATTTTGTAGCAAAATGCTCACAAATGTCTGTAATTATATCTGGTTCAAACCTTTGCATGAAATGTTGCCAAGTTTATCCTGAAACGTTGGGTCATATTTACAATTATACTGCACGCTGGCATTCACCGCATCAATCACAACATTAGGTATCAACATTAAAAATGGCTTGCTAAGTTTGGTATCTGGAGCTAAACTTAAATGGGCTACTTCACTTTTTTTTTTTTAATACAATATTGTAGTTTTCTTTAAGGAAACAATTCCAGGGTGTCCTTTTCTAATTAAGTAGAAAAAGAAAAGGTATTTGGCAAAGTCGGCTGGAGACTCAGCACTTTCTTTCAGGCACTCCAGCTCTGATGAAGTTTGCCATATGATAGTTACGGAGCTGCACAGCAAACAACCCCAAAGTGGGCCAACCGAGCATGCTGGACTTTTGGCTTCTGTTTAGAACTGCATTCTGAATATTAAGTGTGAAAAGCAAGCTTTCTGCTATTTATTCCTCTGGACTGCTCCTGGAAGATCATTATTTTTCATCAGAATCGACAAGGAGGAGGAACAAAACTGCAATCAATAAAAGCTTCTTTGGGGGGTGGGGGGGAAGCATGTGTCCCATGATAAAATGATTTCAGCAGCTTTGGGACTATTCGATTCTGATCTTAGAGGCCAGGAGAAAGAGAAATTCAAGGAGCTGACACTCGTCCTTGGAGAGGTTAAACTGGGGATTAGAGAAGAGAAGTCGTCTTGAAAGGCGAGCACTGTGTGTGTGTGTGCAACTGTGGGGGGGCATGGAGTATGTGTATGGGGGAGGGAGCTAATATCTAAATGGCCTACAGTCATTACAAAACCCTCTTATGTGGCAGTTCTCAATGCCAAGTCCCCCAAACAGCATCATCTGTTTATTTTTTTTTAGAAATTCTCATTCCCAGACCCCACCCTAGAACTATTATTGTTAAGTGCCCTTGAGTGGGTTCCAACTCATAGCCACACCGTATACTTAATCAGAAACTCTGGGGTGGGACCCCGGCATGGTATTTTCATAAGCCCTCCAGGCAATTCTGGTGTGGGTTGAAGTTTAGGAACCACTTGCTCTAAAGACCACTGCATTTCCCAATCAGAAAACACGTTGGGAAGGGCAAGATGGCGCCCACGGGCATGCGTTCTCTGCCATGGTTCTTCCTCTGGGAGAATGAAATCTTACCTTGCTTTGCAGACAAGACCCCAGTCAGAGCACTGCTGTTGGATTTACTCTGGCCCTTTGAGTTTTTCCGTCTTTCGAGAGCATTCTAGAGCAACATTACAAGAAAATGAAAGCCTTTGTCAGGGCATCTAATAATGAATAATGGATAAACAGCTCATAACAATAGTTGCATTCTCCCACCCAGCACACAAAAACCCTTGCAAACTCCACATGCTGACCCAACACTTAGAATTCTGCGTTCTTAAGTTACGATTATGCCTATGATCATGAAAATAGCACAGGTCTGGACAATGTTTGTGCATAAAGCCACCTATATAATGCCATGGACACTTAATCGATTATAATATAATGCAAACATAACTTCCATATGCACTGGTATGCCAAAATGTGTGTGATGGTAGTATTAGTTTTACTGTGGTGGTCTGGAAGCAAACCCACAGTATTTCTGAGGTTCTTGCCATGTTGGAACTGAATAAGTGCTGTTATCTCAATGCATTTGTTATATACCTTTAAAAGCTGCTGTCTTCTTTGGCTGCATAGGTATATATATCAAAAGAAACCAAACCCATGTCCACTGAGTCAATTCTGACTCATAGTGACCCTATCTAGGGTTATTAGACAGTAGAGCCTCATCTTCCTCCCATGGAGTAGCTGGTGGGTTTGAACTGCTGACCCTACAGTATCACTAGAGTTCCTTACGTGTGTATTATTTGTCGTTGAGTGCTGTGGAATCAGTTTCCACTCGTGACCCTGTGTACAACATAACAAAACACTGCCCAGTCTCACTCTATCCTCAGAACTGTTGCTACATTTGCGTGTACCTAGAATTGGTAAAAATGAAAACGTAGCCCTCACAGAATGGAAAGGAAGAACTATATGGAGACTTGTGAGAAAAAAGCTAATGTCAGAAGCTGGGAAATGAGAAGACTCCCCCAAGCAGCCATTCTGCTGCAAAACTTCACCCTCAGGAAGAGAAATCAATCTCTTTTCAAAGCAGAGAAACCCAGGAGATGTTTCTAATTATAACACTTACAACCAACATCTGCAGAAATAGATATTATCAAACTAATGGTGCTGGAATTAGACTAAACACCAGTGGGGAGAATTGAAACCCTGTGTCCTTTCGGTGTGACATGAACATCATTGTTTCAACTGTGATTCCCCAGCCCGTTTCTTCAGCTTCTGGAATCATCTTCTTCTGGATGGTGATGTGGCAAAGTGCATCGGATGGCTGGACATTTTATAGAAAAACAAGATAAGAAACCTAATCTCCTAGGACCCGGGGCTGGAAAGGGGACAAGTCCAAATTCTGATGGTGTCAGTGGGCATTGTCCAGATCATAGGCATAGAGGTAGCTCTTGTCAAAAGCTGTTTGGGTTTTATGTGTTGTTTGGATTTTAGTTTCCACTGGTTCTTATTGGGCTCTATCTGAGAGAGCAGGAAAGGAAGCACAGAGATGTCTTTGGCACATCAACGAGAGTAAAACTAGAAAAACATTCAGATACACCATAGTGAGTTGTCATCATTGTGCTTAAGATTTTGCTACCTTGTACTTGGCAATGTTAGATTTCAGGAGGTTGACTTCTTCATGGAGTTGTTTTAATCTCTCTTGGAGGTACCTGGAAGAGAATACAGACAACTAGGAAGTTCTGAAAGGAGCCCAAGTGACACAACGGTTAAGCATTCGGTGGTTAACCACAAGGTCGGCGGTTCAAACCCACCCAGCACCTCTGTGGGAGAAAGGCAATCTGCTTCTTTAGGGATTGCTGTTTGGTAAGTGCTGTTGAATCAGTTGTGACTCATAGTGAGCCTTTATAAGGTTTCCAAGGTTTGAACCACAAAAATCTCATGGTTAGCAGTCCAGTGCTGATCCTACAGCTTAGAAAACTCTCTGGAGGCAGTTCTATGCTGTCTCCTGGGACTGTTATGAGTTGAAATCAATTCGATGGCAGCCAACAACAAACAGCAGGAAGTATTTGAAGGTAAGTTAGAAAAACCAAGCATTCAGATATAAGAGAAGAAGAAGAAATCCACATGCCCAAAGAGGCATCTCTCAAACAGAATGATTGCCTTACACCACCTACCAGAGGAAGAGGAAAAGTACATCTCTGTGACCTCTGCTCAAATGGATATGATCAAGGTTAAACATGCCCAAGTCCCCAAAGCCCCACTTTAAAACCAACCTCTGCAGAGATCCCCCTGAGGGGTAGCCACAGCGCTTTCACATAATTCTCATTAAGATGATTCCACAGGGAAGTAAAGCAGGAACAGGCGACACCAGTCATAACATTAAGTTAGACATATACACACACTGAAATTTGCCTCAGGGAAATGAAATCTCTAAGGGAGTTTCACAATCCATTTTCTTATGCTTCCCCTTCCCTTGATAGCAGTATAAGTTGCTTTCACGGGTTCTTTACCCTTCTCATCCAGTGGAGTGGGGGTGGGGGGCAGGCAGAGGTGAGTGTATGTGTGTAACAAGTTGGTGTGTACGCTTCTTTACAACTAACAGTGTCTAGTTGCCATCGAGTCAATTCTGACCCCATATGTGTCAGAGTAGAACTGTGTTCCGTAGGGTTTTCAATGGCTGATATTTTGGACGTTATCTTCTCAGGCCTTTCTTCCATGGTACCTGTGGATAGGCTGAAACCTCCAACCTTTCAGTTAGTAGCTGAGCACTTAATTATTACACCACCTAGGTGCTTACAACTAGTGGTGGTGATGATGTGCCATAGAGTCAGTTCTGACTCAGAGCAACCCTGCAGAAGGTTTCTGAGGCTGTAAATCTTTACAGGGGCAGAAAGCCTCATCTTTCTCCCACAGAGTAGCTGGTAGTTTTGAACTGCCGACCTTGAGGTTAGCAGCCCGACTTGTACCATTGTTTTGGGGGTTGAAACTTCCCTTTCACTGCAAGGCAATTTTCCCAGCTATAAGCAGGGTTGTGAATAAGTCCCAGCCTCCAGGCCAGTGGAGTGGGCCGGAAGCGGTCACTTGCCTGTTCTCCATGCACAGAGCGTCCACGTCAATGATGCGGTTCTCATGCCCGCCCAGGATATGGTTGAGCTCCTGGTTCAGCCTGTCCACTTTGTCCTGGTAGGAAGACCGCTCTTCTTTAACATCCTGAAGCTCATCCAGAGAAGACTGCAGGTCATGCTCCAAAGACTCCATCTGAAACGAAGGAGGCCCCTCGCTCAAGATGCTCTTCAGGCACCAGTTTTACGGCCAGAGATGAAGCTTTCCACTCGGTTGACTGATTGTTAGAGAGCTTCTTAATAATAATACCACCCAGGGGCTATAAAACCATTACGTGCACACACTGGAATGGGGTAAAAGCTAAAACCAAGCGATGACAGTCTGCCAGGCCCCTACTCTACTGAGAGATCTTGCAGAGGTGCAGGGGCTTGTTAATCACAGCTGATCCCTTACTGACTACCAGTTAAACCAGTCGCTGTTGAGTTAACTCCTATTCATGGCCACCCTCCATATGCTTTTGGATGGTTGATGCTTTTCAGTAGAACACCAGGCCTTTCTGCCAAGGTGCTTTTGTATAGGCTCCAATCTCCAACCTTTCAGTGAGCAGCCCCACGCATTAACCGTGTTCAACACCCACAGACTCCTTACAGCATGCCCTAAAGCCACAGGCACATTAAGCGTGATTCCAGACACAAGGGACAGCCGCTTACAAATACATATTTTCAGCAAATCTACTCTAGACCCAGAAATCTTGTTCTGCTCTTCACAGTCAATTAGTGAGAAAGGAAAATGAAGCTGAGGCTCTCCTAGCTGTTCCTAACTAGGGCTCGGGACCCGCTGAGATTCTGCTTAAGAAGTATCGCTCAGCATTTTCGTGGAAACTTGCAAATTAAGGTCAGTTTGTCACATTTTGTTCTTCCCCTTTCTACCCTGAGTCTGGGGGAAAGTTTCCCATTGTGTTGAGAACAGTGGTACTCAGAGTCTATGGAGAAGACCTGCCAGAAATAGAGCCAGCTTGGGAAGCTAGTGAAGTACTAAGGGAAGTTAAGGTGGTCAGCCGTTTTCCTTGTGTAATTTGTATCTGAGGCAACCAGCCCTCCCCAAGACCCAGGGGCACTGTCTGCTCTTCTACACATTGTGGCCAGCTAGGCCAACACTTCTCCCCCTTTTAATAGCTGTGAGTGGTCACCTGTTCCTTAGCTCTCTCCAGCTGCTGAACCAAGTCTTCACGTTCATGGGCTGCAAAGTGGCGCACACCGATCTCTTCGTCTCCCAGCCTCTGTTTGGCAATTGTCATCCTTAAGAGCTGTATTTTTCCATACATAGGAAAAGAAAAAAATCAAAAAGAGACAGGATGTTAAAAATGAAGGACCCAAATAAAATCCCCAAAGACACTAAACAACTTTAAGGAAGATTCTTTCAGGAAATACTGGGAAAGACACAAAGCCAAAGAAATTTCCTGCCAATAACATGGTTTAAAATATATGTTGAAATATCATACATCTTGTAAGAAGCCCTGGTGGCACCATGGGCTAAGTGTTGTGCTGCTAACCACAAGGTCGGCAGTTCAAACCCAAGGGAGACAGATGATGCTGTCTGCACCTGTAAAGATTTACAGTCTCAGAAACCTTATATAATGTTGCTTTGAGTCAGAATCTACTTGAAAGCAGTGGGTTTTATATATAATGTATTATACACAAATGCACACACACTAGGTATAAGGTTAAAAGGAATATGTTGTTGTCGTCAAGTGCAATCGAGTCAGAACTGACTCATAGCGACCCCATGCACAGCAGAACGAAACAATGTCCGATCCTGGGCCAACTTCACTACCGCTGCCACACTTGACGCCATCAATGATGCCACCTGGCTGATCCATCTCGTTGGGAAAAGGAATATAGGCTTGGGCATTTAAAGGTGGCTGCTCTGCGTAGGGGACTCCTGGTGTGGCACTGTAGAATAAGCACTGGACTGCTAACCATAGGTTGGCTGTTCAAATTCACCAGCCATTCCTCAAAAGCTCTATACAGGGTCATTATGAGTCACAACCAACTCGATGACACACAATACCAACAAACTCTATGTAGGTAGCAATATCATAGTGAGGGACACATGTAAACATTCTAGGTCACATTTTAACTTAGCAAAGATTCAAAAACAGTAACATGACACTGGGAAGGATCTGTTGAGATGGGTACTCATTCACATTTTAGTTGGGGTGTAAAGCAATTAGGCTATGTGACTCCGAAGAAAGACCTGGCGATCTACTGAGCA